TTTCTAGGTTTTTACCCAAAGTAAATGAAAACTTATGATCTCACAGAAGCTTGCGCATGAATGTTTATAGCAGCTTTATTCATAATCACCAACAGCTGGAAAAAAACAACTAGGGAATGAATAAACTGTGGTCCACCATACCTTCAATACTACACACGACTGATAATGCAAAAACATGGATGAATCTTCACTAAGTGAAATAAGCCAGTCTTAAAAGGATACCTACTGTATTATTCCATCTATATTACATTCTGGCACAGGGCAGAAAACAGACGAGCAGATGCCTGGGAATTAGGGGAATGATTGACTACAAAGGGGAACAGTTACATGGCTGTATGTGTCTGTATATAAAAGTGAATTGAAAAATACTGATGCTTAGTTCCTCTCTCAGACCAGTTAATTCACACTGAGGGTGAGACCGAGGCACTGCTCTTTGTTTTAAACCTTCCCAGGTGATTTTGCTGTACAGTTGGGGTTGAGAACCACTAAGCTACATAAATCATCTAAAAAACTCCAAGAAAACATTGTCTTTTGGCTTTGAGTTTTCACTTTCCTCAATAGCTGTTTAAAAACGGTTGGACATAGATTGAGCCTCAAGTGAAGTAATTTGTGTCTAAGAGGAAGTGGGTCGTCCCACCTTTTCTCCATCATGGCTAAGAAAAAATGGGCACACTTTTCTCTGGGTATCATTTTACTGCTGCTGAAATTGTTCAAGCTGATAATTATGAAAGTCAACAGCAAGAGAGCCTTGAATAGAGCATGATTTATTTAAACAACTATATTTGAGATTATATCCTGGGCAATACTTGATCTTATACAGCCATGAGAGTACTGCCCTTTTCTATAGTCTCCTTGTGAACAGACCTGACTCAGGGTTTTGGTCCAAATTATACCACTAGGTGTCACTAAGAAGTGATGAATGGATAGATGTAGAGGGATCTAAGGATGAAATGTGATAAATTTTGAGAGAATATTTTCCAGCTCGAACAGGCCCTAAAGGAGATGGGTTAATGCAGAGGATCGAATGGAGGACTGCAATATGTCTTGAAAGTTTGTCCCAGCTTCTTAGGGATTCCTTGTTCTCTCTAACCTTTGGCTTCTTCTGTAACCTTATTTATTTGTTTTACTTATTATTTACTTTGCCTTTGAGACTTAAGTTTCTGTACCTTGGCATTAAGTGGCTTCCCATGTTTATATTACTTTTCGTAAGACCTTTTTGCTGTGTATAATCTAAAGTTGACAGTTCTGGTCTAAAATTGTTCTCAGAGAGATTGTTCTGGCTCCATTTTCCTCCTTTATAATTTCCCCAAGTGTTGTTTCAGAAGTCAGTAAAATTGATGACTCCCATAGTTTCTCAGACTGAATAGAAAGGGTGGGGATAGGTTGGCTAAGGATTAAAACCATTTTTTTTTTGAGTTGGCATGTCTATCACCCACACTGGCACAGTTCACAGCAGTCTCAGCCTCTTAGGCTCAGGCAATCCTTCTGCCTCAGCCTTTCTGAGTAGCTGAGACTATAGACTCATGTCACTATGCCCAGCTAATTTTTTTTTTTTGAGTCGAAGTCCCCCTCTGTTACCCAGGCTGGAGTGCAGTGGCACTCTCATGGCTACTACAGTCTCAACCTGCTGGGCTCAGGCAGTGCTTCCTCCTCAGCCTTCCAAGTAGCTAGAACTACAGGCACATGGCATCATGCCCAGCTAATTTTTTGATTTATTGTAGAGACGGGGTCTCACTATGTTGCCCAGACTGATCTCAAACCCCTGGATTTAGGCAATCCTCTTGCCTTCGCCTCCCAGAGTGTGCAGGGATTACAGACATGAGCCATTGTGTCCAGCCAAGATCAGTCTTTATATACATATCTGTGTTAATCTTTCTCTCCCTCTTTCTGCTCAAACCAAGTAATATGATGGGGGACCCCAAAATCCCAGAATTTATTTATTTAAAAATTGTATATTTATTCTTACATTTTTAAACTTTAGCCATCTTTAGAGTATTCTTCATTTGATGCAGTACACCTGTAGAGACACTTTTTCCATTGCTCCAAAAAGATTTGAACTCATGAATTTTGATGTCTTTTAGTGCTTTTACTGCTTTTTCTTTCACCTATAACACATCGACAGAACGTTTCCCTTTGAGGACTTTTGTCATCTGAAGAAACAAAAAAAGTTGCTCAGGGTGAGATCAGGTGAACAGGGAGAGTGGGACATTAGGGTCATGCTGTTTTTGGTCAAAAAGTGCCAAACACTCAGTGCAGTGTGGGTGGGTGCACTCCTAAATCACCCATCATGAAATGCACAAACACATTGAAAGAATCTCCTCCCCCCTAAATTCACTGAAGCTGAATGCAACTCTCAGAACAATGCTAGCTGTACTCTGATGCCAATGGGTTCCTAGAACACTTATCTAGTGAGGGAAGGCTGTGCTAGGGCCACCCTCCAAAAGATAATTTTGAGTTTTGACCATGCTCATAGTTCAACCTGTAATCCCAGCACTTTGGCAGGCTGAGGCGAGTGGATTGCTTGAATCTGCAGGTTCGAGACCAGCTTGGGCAACTTGGTGAGACCTCATCTCTACAATAAATCAAAATATTAACCAGGCGTGGTAGCGTGTGCCTGTGATTCCAACTACTTGGAAGTCTGAGGCGGAAGGATCACCTGAGCCCAGCAGGTCGACTCTGGGGTGGCTGTGAGCATGCCACTGCACTCCAGCCTGGGTGACAAAGTGAGACTCCAACTCAAAAAAAAATTGGGTTTTTTGGGGGGTCCCCCCTTGTATAAGATAAAACCAGAAACAAGAGCTTAATTCTTTTTTTTTTTTTTTTTTTTGAGTTGGAGTCTCACTCGGTCGCCCAGACTGGAGTGCAGTGGCCGTTCCCGGCCACCGCAGCCTCGCCTGCTGGGCTCCGGTGAGCCTTCCTCCTCAGCCTTCCGAGTAGCTGGAATTACAGGCATGTGCTACCATGCCCGGCTGATTTTTTGATTTACTGTAGAGATGAAGTCTTGCTGCCCAGGCGGGTCTCGAACCCTCGGGCTCAGGCAATCCACTTACCTCAGCCTCCCAAAGGCACGGGATTACAGGCTGAGCCACCAAGCCCGGCTTAGAGCTTAATTCTAAACTAGAGGTAAGATCTGTTTTCTACTTCCCCTAAATCTTCTGTGTCTTGTTGTCAAGATTTCTGTTCTTCACATTTTGGATGATTCCCGCTCCCCCAGCTGAAAGTAAATAGCTTTAGTTGCCAGTGTAAACATAAGTGTACTTTATCTCTGACCTGTTCCCCATAGTTAGTCCTTGATATGGGTTAAAATGCCCACCAGTATCTTTCACCTCTAAATCCTGCATTTGTTTTGAGTCGTTTTAAGACCTGTCATTTCCATTCATTATTCCTTAGGTAACCCAGCTCCATATGATACTCCTTTGCATTTATAAGCCACATTTACTTATTTGTGCCCTTATATTGTCTTTTTCACAGTCAGCTACTAAAAGTTGTTTTGATATCTGTTGTCCTCAATATATTTACCTTGCAAGATAGTGAGCATAGATTTGAAGTGATTGTCGATAAATCAGTTGAACCAAGTCATAATAATAATAATAGTGCACATTATGTAATACTACGTGCCTGGGACTGTTATAAGTAAGTATATTACATATGTTATCTCATTAAATCCATACAAACACCATGAAGGAGAGACCATTATTATTTCCTGTTTTATTTTATTTATTTATTTTTTGAGTTGGAGTCTCACTCCGTTGCCCAGACTGGAGGGCAGTGGCATGCTCCTGGCCACCACAGCCTCGACCTGCTGGGCTCCGGCGATCCCTCCATCTCAGCCTTCCAAGTAGCCGGAACTACAGGCGTGTGGTACCACGTCCAGCTAATTTTTGATTTATTGTAGAGACGAGGTTTTGCCAAGTTTCCCGGGTGGGTCTTGAACCTGCAGGCTTAGGCAATTCACTCGCTTCGGTCTCCCAAAGTGCTGGGATTATAGGCTGAGTCACCAAGCCTGGCCTTGTTTTCTGTTTTATAAATGCAGTAACTGGGGCATAAAAAGGTCAAGAGACCTGCCCAAAGTCACACAACTGCTAAGTAATAGAGCCATATTACAGACCCAGGTAATCTTACTCCAGGGTCCATGCTCTTAACTCCTATACTATGATGTCATTAAAATTATAAAAGTAAATATCCCATATCTTTATAATAAATAAATAAAATTTTAAAAATACTATAAAAGTAAATATCAGACATTTATTATATGTGAGTCACTGTGCCAAGTGTTTTATATGCATTATCTCATTCATTCCTTATAGGAACAGTATGAGATAGGTAATGTACTATCCCCTATTTTACAGGTAAAACTGAGGCAGAGAGGTTAAGTAAGGCCATGCAACTAATAAGTCTGTGGTGGCACAGCTGGGCTTTGAAATCTGTCTGGGTCCAGAGCTCCAGATCTTAACCACTAATCTGTATTACCCGTACACTTCTTTTGGTGTCAGTTGGTTGAGATCCTACCTGCACTTTGACCCCAGTGCTAAGTATAGTACTTTCTTTCTTTCTTTTTTGGCTTGTGTATATTGAGAAGAGCTTTGCTTGTTCACCAATGTGTTGAGGGACCACATCCAGCTACTTTGCTGGCCAAGTCTACCTTATGGACCTCAATTAGATGCTGCTTCCTTCACTAATAGCATTTTTTCCAGTTTTGGGCCATTGCCTCCAGTTGAGCTCAAGAGAAGCTGTCCAGTTTCAGTTTCCTTTAGTGCTATTGCATTTATTTGAGTAAATCATCCACCAGTGATAAGGTGATTCTTGCCTGTTATACAGGCAGTTCTCTGTGGAGACATGAATATGAAATATAGGTAAAAAGCCAAAGCACTGTTTGAAGAATGCTGTTTCTAAGGATGGTAGTTTATGCATCTTGCTATTTGTTCTTAAGGGTTTTTCTTCTGAAAAGGCAGAAAGTTTTGCAGCAACAGGAGAGAGATTTCATTAAGAGGAGAAAATTCATGAAGCTTATTTCTTTTTTCTTTTCCCCAGAGTCTTAATGGTGTTTGGCTGAATGGGGAGCGTCTGGAACCTTTAAAGATCTATTCCATTCATAAGGGAGACCACATCTGGCTTGGAGTGCCTCTGGAAGATAAGGAGAAGGCAGAATATGAATATGAAGTTATTGAAGAGGACTGGGAGAGGATGTATCCCTGTCTTTCCCAGAAAAGTGTCCAGATAATAGAAGAAATTAAGACCTTGAGAACTAAAAGGAAATGTAGTTTGGATGAATTAGAGGGTCATGGAGCTGAAGACTCTTCAAATTTGAAATCCAAAATATGTAAAGTATCTTTTGAACCTGTTCAACCAGTGAAGTCACATAGGGTAGGTGAAGTAGCCAGTCAGACCTCTGGATGTTTGGATCCTAAGTTGTCTTCTCTTGAGCCAAGTGGGAAGACCACAGAGGCCCCTGTTTACCTTGGGCCCCCAAAAGCTACAGAGTTTCATCATAAGCAGAAAGCCTCAAACCCTTCCACATGTCAGAGCAGCTTAGAGCTGTTTAAGGTATCTATGTCTAGGATCCAGAAGCTGAAAACACAAATGCAGAAAAAACAGGTAGCTGTTCTGAATGTGAAGAAACAGACCCAAAAGGAAAACTCAAAGAAAATTGTGAAAATGGAGCAGGAACTGCAGGACTTACAGTCCCAGCTGTGTGCAGAGCAGGCCCAGCAGCAGGCAAGAGTGGAGCAACTAGAGAAGACTTTTCAGGAAGAGGAACAGCATCTCCAGGTACCATTCAGGAGTCAAAGGCAAGAGTGCCCCTCAGGAGTAGGCAGGTACTTTGGTGAGCCTCTGGCCAGAGCTCTCAGCTTCTAGGCACCAGGGACAGGAAACAGAATGGCAACAGAAAACTTTGAGAAGGGGGCTGAGTAAAGGGTTAAGGCTCCAGCATGCTGATGAGATCAGGAACCAGAGTTACTGGTGCCAAGATCGGGCAAGGTGACCAGCAGAGCCCACCAGGACATAACTGATCTCAGAATGCAAAGCTGAGGCATCTAAGAACCAAGGTAAATTCAGGGAGAAATTGGATGAAGGTTGGGATGCCACAAAACCACAGAATACTCCAAATAAGCCAATAGTTGTCCTTATGACTTTTCTATCTTTGCTCTGTGGTCAGAGTCAAACTATTCAGCTCCAAGGCAGGTACGGGTCAACTGATTCCTCTGCCCTTATTGAACCTGGCAGTTCAAGGGTTAAACAAGGTTGCTAACCTTGGCAGTGTGAAGCTAGAAAGGCAGAACATGTTTTTGTTCCTATGCTGAACAGCCAGCATGTCAGAAGACAGGTACATCATGACTACTTTGTTGGGTTGAGCGGTAAGGCACCTTCCCAGTGCCTTTAGTAAAATAACGATTGTCTTAGCTGTGTCAAAGTAAGACCAAATGTGTACCTACCACTAAGTCATTTGCTCAGATAACAAGCTCTTGCACAGAGTTTTAGGCTAGAACTGATCTGTCCCTGCTCAAAATGTCATTTCCCTTCTGGTAAAAACCACACATTTTATTCCTACCCAGTTGCTCAGGTAATACTGAATGTCAAGAATTCCCCATTGTTGACTTAGAACTTAGAAGGGCCAATCACAACTGAAGTGAATAAGCTTTTATCTTTTGTTTTGGTTGTTCAAGGTAAGGTAAGGAACAACCAGTAGTATTGGCTTATTTCTGAACATTTATAGATTTCATTCTGATCTCTGCTATCCCCTTGAGCTGGTAGTATTAGCAAAAGCTATGGATTAAATAGGTCTTTGAGGGTATATACTGGTTGCTTGTGTGTGCCTTTTTGCTTGTTTTACCCAGCCTAGACTAATTCTTGAAATTAACAGAGGGTAGTTTATTTCTACATTTTTAGTGTATCACCTTCACCAGAGCAAAATTCTCTTTAAAGGCTGATGAATTCAGGAACAAGAGTTACTGTTGATTAGTATTTTTGGCTTCTCTGGGTAAGCTTGAAGATATAGCTGCAAAATCTATTTCTGTACCAAAATGTTACAGGCAAAAATAATTGGTTACAAGAATTTCTCTAGATATGAGGAGGTTGTGTATACATTGCTAATAGTGAAGTATATCTGTTCCCTTGTTTATCAGCTGCATTTCCTTCTGCCCACCAAGCCCTAGGGATTTATCCTATCCCTACTACTTGTTCAAGAGCTTGTTGAACCCTTGCTGCGTCACATAGACAACTTATTTTATTTTTTATTTTGCTTTATTTTTTGAGCATCTGCATTGCCTGGCAGTAGGGAGTTCTGGTGGTTATAAAGATGCTCAACAAGTGGTTTTTGCCATTGAGAAATTTCTCTTGTTGAGGAAACAAGATGTATTATACACATAATATAATCAGAGAATAGTTTTCAGTCTCTAAGAAACTGGGGAATGATTTCAAGTTGGCATATTAAATGGGTGGGTAATTCTTAAGGAGAAAAGGGCCCAGAGGCTCTTGGGGAATGTGCTGGACATAGGTTAATGATGATCTGGAAGGCATCCACATTGGATGGGGCTGATGGAGAAAGTATAGCATAAACTCAGGCAGGGAAAGAGGAGGAGCAGTATACAAGCTAAAAGTGGTAGTGAGACTGAGAATGAGAGACGGGGTGGCCAGGATAGAGGGGAGAAACATAGTAGATCTTATGCGCGCCAGCATGGGGGTTTGTGTCTGAATTTAGATACTTGGTAGCTTAGAAGTTCTTCGTTTAGCTGGGCGTGGTGGCTCACGCCTGTAACCTCACCACTTTGGGAGGCAGAGGTGAGCGTCTTGCCTGAGCCTAGAGATTTGAGACCAGCCTAGGCAACTTGGTGAGACCTCGTCTCTACAATAAATAATAATAATAATAAAATTAGCCGGGCGTGGTGGCACACGCCTATAGTTCTAGCTGCTTACAAGGCTGAGGTGGAACCTGAGCTTAGCAGGTCGAGGCTGCAGTGACCATGAGTGTGCCTCTGCACTCCAGCCTGGGCGACAGAGTGAAATGCCAACTCAAAAAAAAAAAGTTCTTAGTTTACTTCCTTTTGGGAATCGTGGCATTAGCCAGTGAAGGAGGCTTGGACTGATAGCTCAATAGTATTTCCAGAACAGTCCATGTGGTACCTTAAAGCTGACAGTCCTGAGGTTTGCATTATTTGAGCAGATGACTGCTCAAGTCCTTTACTGCCAACAGCTTGAAATAAAATGGGAGATTTTCCCACCTGCTCCCTGTCCCCTGTTGTTTCCAGATGCTCACACTAGCTGGTCTCCTCGGCTCATTGCTGTATTTTGTTCCTTCTTTCCCCTCCCTGCAGGGAAACCTTTCATTTTGTTTTGGCTTTGCAGGATTTGGAGAAGGAGCAAGGAGAAGAGGACCTGAAGCAACAGCTTGCCCAGGCTCTGCAGGAGGTAACTTATCTCTTGCTACTGTACTGAGATTATAGTGGACGGAGTCGTGGGGAGCAACGAGGCATCATGTGGCCACTGGCTGCCTCTGCTGCTTAGCTCATACCTCTGTGGCATCTCTAGTCTATAAACGGAGCAGGTAGCAGCTGCTCATACCATCAGGTCAGAGATTTGGAGCCTTGCAGATATGCCAAACCTCGGCATGAAAACTTACATCTTCATCTGAGCAGCAATTGCTCTGGTGAAGATGAAAGGGAGCCTTAGCAATTAGGAAGCTCTCTGGGGAAGTGGTTTCACTCCCAGAAAGGTGAGGGCCAGCAGAGGGGAAATGTGAGCTATGATTTGGCCTGTGAGGCCTGTTACCTCACTGTCCTGAGCAATAGCCTTCCAAAAACCATTCGAGAATGTTCCAGTTAAGCATTTTAGAACAGGTTGAGAATGTGCAGTGTAACAGTCAACAAAACTTACCAATTTATAAAGAGTAAAGCTCAACAGGAATAAAATTTTCCTAATAGATTATTTCTAATTTATTTTATTTAACTTAACTACTCTCATTTAATTAATTTTTACAAGCTCTTTTGCATCTTTAAAACCTTTTTTATCTTCTATCCTTTATGTATTATGATTAGTAGTAGTTTGATGCACATTTAGTTAGGATGGTTCAGATCTCCTTCAGAAAAGTGAGGAAATCACATAAGAATTTGTTTAGACCTGGTGTGGTGTAGTTCCAGCACTTTGGAAGGCCGAGGTGAAAGGATTGTCTGAGCTCAGGGGTTCGAAACCAGCCTGGGCAACTTGGTGAGACCTTGTCTTTACTATAAATAAAAAAATAAGCTGGGTGGAAGATTGAGGCTGAAGGATTGCCTGAGGCCAGCAGGTCAAGGCTTTGGTGGCTGTGAGCGTGCCACCACACTCCAGCCTGAGCAACAATGAGACTCTGACTCAAAAAAAAAAATAATTTGTTCAGGGGAATTTATCCTTGTGTTCTTTAATTGCATACCTAACTCTCGACCTTATAGTGCTAACAGTTATATAGTACAGTAAGCATTACAAAGTGTCTGCCTCGATTTCCTTGAGGGTTGCACAGTTTTGGAAAGAGTTGGATGAAAATTAATTTAATCTTTCTGGAATTTTATTTTCTGAGCTTGTTTGTTTACTAGGGTGGGCATGTTTCCTGTCTGGAGCATTATTAAGTTAGTATTCAGATATTGTTTTGAAATTGACTGAAAAAAGTATGATTCTGCTACTTGGAAATTCCTGAAGGATCATTGAGCACACAGAACTCCTCACCCTTTCCTGAGACAGGCAGAACATATATTATCACTTAGCATGGACTATTTGACCATTTATTTATTTATTTATTTTTGAGTTGGAGTCTACTCTGTTGCCCAGGCTGGAGTGCAGTGGCTTACGCACCACCACTGCAGCCTCGACCTACTGGGTTCAGGTAATCCTTCCTCCTCAGCCTTCCAAGTAGCTGGAACCACAGGTACGCACCACCACACCTGGTTAATTTTTTATTTGTTGTAGAGACTAGGTCTCTCCATGTTGCTCAGGCTGGTCTTGAGTCCCTGAGCTCAGGCAGTCCTCTTGCCTTCATCTCTCAAAGTGCTGGGATTACAGGCGTGAGCCACTGGGCCCAACTGGCCATTTATTTATTAACTTAAAATATGATATTTTTAAGTCATTATTCATACTGTCATACTGGAGGAACATGCCACTCTCAAATGATGCAGTGGTTGTTTTTTGTTCTACAACACTGGTCCCTTTGAAAGCTGTTCTTTACCAGGCCATTATAAAAACCTGCATATAGAAAGAACTTCAAAAACTTTTCTATAGCTGGACGTGGTGGCATGTATCTGTAGTTCTAGTTACTTGGAAGGCTGAGGTGGAAGGCTTGCCTAAGCCCAGCAGGTTGAGGCTGTAGTGGCCATGGGTGTTCCAGGTTGGGGGACAGAGTGAGACTCCAACTCAAAAAAAAAAAAACTTTTCTGAGGTAGGAGGTGGTACCTATTTTCCCATTCTATGGATAAGAAAGCTAAGGCACACACATAGTTAGTGGGTCAAGATGACCCAGGCCTCTGACATAACTGCTTATTTTCAGGAGATCACACATTTTAAAATTTGTTTCCTTTACTTTACCTTCTTTTTAAAAGGATTTGAGGTCAGATTCTAAAGTATAAGCAACACTTAAGCATGAGAGTACTCATAAATTATGTTTCATAGATGTAGAACTTCTTGACTTTCGATATAGGCAGTTAGTCACAATGAATGAGCTATTTGCTTTTGGGTGTTCCATCTTCCAGAAGACACCAGCAGGGTGTAGACCACATTGCCTTATTAGCATATAGTGTATGAATTTTTGGAATAAATTGGCTAAAGCTCATTTTTATTTCGGTGAAAATGATGATCTAGGTACCCTAAATCCCATTGTCCCTGATTATTCTTTTGATTTATTGTAGAGACAAGATCTCACCAAGTTGTCCAGGCTAATCTTGAACCCCTGAGCTCAGGCAATCCTCTCGCCTCGGCCTCCCAAGGTGCTGGGATTACAGACTTGAGCCATCTTGCCTGGCCTTGATTATTTCTTAAAAGCAGCTCCCAGTTCTAGGTAGCTCATAGTTACTAGTTATTTTTGAGTCAGAATCTTACTCTGTCGCCCAGGTTAGGGTGCAGTGTCACACTCACAGACTGCAGCCTCAACCTGCTGGGTTCAGGCAATCCTTCCATTTCAGCCTTCCAAGTAGCTGGAACTACAGGCATGCACCACCACACCTGGCTAATTTTTAAAATTTTTTATAGAGACAAGGTCTTGCCATGTTGCCCAGGCTGATCTCAAACCCCTTGTTCAGGCAATCCTCTTGCCTCTTCCTCCCAAAGTACTGAAATTACAGGCATGAGCCACTGCACCTGGCATAGTTACTAGTCCATAACCACTGGCTCCCAGAATCACTTGGATGTCTTCTGTTTTTTAAAAATGTACATTTCTGGGTTTCAAGTCAAACTTACAGAACCAGACTCTTTGGACGACAGTGAAAGTTCTTCAGTTGACTTGGATGGCCACTGATGTTGGGATAGTTTCAGAGGAACTAATGAACTTAGTGGCTTCCCTCCTAAACTATTCCCTCCCTTGATAAAAGCAGCAACTAGGTAGGATATCCTGATGAAATTAAGGTAGTGTTTTGAAACTGCCAATTTATTGTTCCCTGAGCCAAAGCTCCTGTCGAGAGGGAGGGAACAGGAATGTGTGTGACTAAGAGGAAGAATGCTGTGTGGTTCATCCTTAGTATGTATTGCTATATTTTTGCAGCATCGGGCTCTAATGAAAGAGTTAAATCGCAGCAGGAAGGACTTTGAAGCAATCATTCAAGCCAAGGACAAAGAATTGGAGCAGACCAAGGTACTGACAGGAAAGATGATAGAGGTTTAGAATTTGGTTAGTACATGCAACTCAGCATTTTCAGCAGTGCAAGGTTGCTATGGTGAATGTAGAGAGAGATTATGGCTGCTTCTTGCCTCGGGGTAAATAATCTGTAAAATTATTCAGACCTGTGGAAGGTTCTGCCTGTAAGAGAATATCTATTTTCTTCTCATTTAGAAGCGAAATGTTGAGAATAAGGCACTTGCTTCCTGCATTCTAGTCCTTTGTCTGTGGTGGGTACTCCTCCAGTTTGTGTCACTGATACAGACTAAGATGCATTGTAGTAAGATGCAAAATAAAAAATATTTCCTTCTGGACTATGTAATTTGAATTACATACAGTAAAATGAATTACTTTATTCACTTTCTTCTCATGTCAAATCAGTAGAACTCTTAAATTAGAGGTTCTAAATTTAAATGCCCACCAGGGCCAGACTGGTAATAAAAATAAGTGAAGTGACCTGGGTGTAAGAGCACAGTTGGGAGCTGTGAGGACTGTGGCTCACTGGATAGACGTACTAGCCGCCCCCCCCCCCACTCCCACTCCAAGAGACAGCTCTTCTGTGCTCAGTCAGTTGTTGCCATCCAGAAATGCAGGGCCAGTATTGTCAGATCTGACTTTTCCACAGCAGATGGAAATCCTAATGTTTATGTGAAATATCCCAAATTTCAAACGTTGGCAGCAAATTCAGTTTTGTTTGTGTGTTTGTTTAATACCACAAAGGCTAAATTAAACAAGTCTGCAGGCTGGGTCTAATCTACAGGCCACAAATTTGCAACTTCTGACCTGAAATTGATACCTGAGTCTGATTTCATCTCTCATTCCACCCACTCCATGTACAGACCTAGAGCTGAGTACAGAAAAGAGGAGACTTTTTTTAGTTGGTTTAATATCCTTATCCTCTTCTTTAATCACATACCTTCTTCTCCAGCCTCTAAGAAACTACCACATCTTTTTAACCAGTGATTCATAAGTTTTTGGGAACTTACTGTAGTTTGAAATGACCCTCTTCACTGTCCTTAGCAGTCTGACAGTCTTTGGTTTGAGTAGGAGAGAAAAATGAAAGATGAAAAATGAACCAGCCATTCAAATATGTCCCAAATGGTCTTTCTTCTTCCCCTCAGGGGCTCTTGATGCTTTCTGTTTGGGGGACAAGGTACTAAAATGTCTGCTTCAAGAGAACATACTTGGTTTACCAAACATGTGTCCATAAGCAGTCTGATCTCTTGGGGGAAAGCACAAGGAATTACACTGCAGACCTCTGCAGAAGTGGGAAGTGGCAAGCATCATGAAGCGTGGAGCCTGAAGGAACTTCAGGAGGTCAGCCTTCTGCGTCCTGCCTCAGATGTATATCTTTATGTTATAGAAGAGGTGGCTACAAAGAACATAGGGACTTTAGGACTAATTCAAGCTTTCTGCCTCCTCTGGACTATTCTTCATGTCTCTTTTTTTGCCTGATGAGTTTTTAATGGTTTGGGATGATTTTATATCACCTCCAAACTATAGCTTGCTAAAGACTACTTAATGTCTTATCAGATCTTGAGTAGTTTGTGTGATTAGCATACCACCTTTTTTTTTGTGAGTTGGAGTCTCACTCTGTCGCCCGAACTGGAGTGCAGTGGCCGCTGCCGGCCACCGCAGCCTCGACCTGCTGGGCTCCGGGGATCCTTCCACCTCAGCCTTCCAAGTAGCTGGAACTACAGGCGTGCGCTACCACACCCGGCTAATTTTTTTTTTTATTTATTGTAGAGATGAGGTCTCGCCAGTTGCCCAGGCGGGTTTCGAGCCCACAGGCTCAGGCAGTCCACTCACCTCAGCCTCCCAAGGTGTGGGATTACAGGCTGAGCCACCGAGCCCAGCTAGCATACCACCTTTGTTTTTTCTCATTTGATAAATTTTTGAGAAGGAGATAGAAGCTACAGTACAAATACTAGGCCGGCATGGTGGCTCATGCCTATAACCCCAGCACTTTGGGAAGACGAGGTGAGATAATTGCCTGAGCCCATGGGTTCGAAATCAGCCTGAGCAACTTGGTGAGACCTCATCTCTACAATTAAAAAGTAATAATAAGCCAGGTTTGGTGGCGTGTGCCTGTAGTTCCAGCTACTTGGAAGGCTGAGGTGGAATGATCACCTGAGCCCAGCAGTTTGAGCCTGCGGTGGCTGTGAGCATACCACTGCACTCCAACCTGGGCAACAGAGTGAATGGCTCCAACTAAAAAAAAAAAAAATACTGAAAGAGTAGTGTCCTATCGACCAATCGAGCTACTGTTAAAAAATACCATAAGCTGGGTAGCTTATGAACAACAGATACTTATTTCTCATAATTTTGGAGGCCAGGAAGTCTAAGATCAAGGTGCTGGCAGATGTGACGTGTGGTGAGGGCTATCTTCTGGTTCATACAAGGCATCTTTTTGATGTGTCTTTGTATGGTGGATGGGGCAAACAAGCTCCCTTGACCCCCTTTTATAAGGCCACTAATCCTATTTATGAGCATGGAACCCTCATGATCTGGTCACCTCCATAAGGCTCTTCCTCTTAATACCATCACTCTGGGGATTACGTTTCAGTGGAGGAATTTTAGGAGAACACAAACATTCAGACCATAGCAGGTGGGGAGAGGAAAGAAAGGAAGTTAAGACTTTGTATTAGAAAACAATACTTGAAAAACAGTACTCCTTAGGGAAAGTGTTTTATTCTCATATTGCTGTACCAGAATGAATTATTAAGACTCCTTCTGAATCCTACTCTAGACCACCCTGCTCCCTGTTCTATTTTGCATTCTTGTTGGTTCTCCATGAATAACAGGTGGGATTGTATGTCTTTTTAGGAAGAAAAGGAGAAGGTAAAAGCACAGAAAGAAGAAGTTCTTAGCCACATGAATGATGTTCTAGAAAATGAGCTCCAATGTATTATTTGCTCAGAATACTTCATTGAGGTAATTATTAACAGTTGCTCACCCCTTCTTACTCTTCCAACCCTGAATGGAGCCTGGGCTATTTAGGTTGCTTCTGCTGTAGAGGAACATTCTGAAGAGAATTTTCTTCCAGGAACTTCTTACAGCTATTTGATTTTAAAGTGAGCTCTAGAGATAACTGCTTCTCATTTGTTTTTGTAGTTTTATTTCCTGTCACTGTCTTTTTTTTGTATTTCATCTGTTCTTAAATATTTATTTGGTATGATTAACATTTTTAGTTGCAATGAAACCTTTATCTCTTTGTTATTGAGAGGAAAATGGCTACATGGCATTAGATTTTTGGAAAAAATCAGAATAAAGCTACTTAATAAACCTATTCTTTTGTTTTGGTTTGGTTTTTTTAAGTCGGAGTCTCACTCTGTCACCCAGGCTGGAGTGCAGTGGCACACTGCCCATGTCCACCACAGCCTCAACCTGCTGGACTCAGGTGATCCTTCCACCTCAGCCTTCCAGGTAGTTGGAACCACAGGCATGCGCCACCACACCCAGCCCAGGATATGGAATTCAGGGGCCAAACTGAATATATTTCAGGGACTCTGAGGCTCCTTAGGAAAATGAAGCATCTCTCCCCTAGGCTACCATTTGTTATCCTGTCATATTTTTGCAGGATTTATTTTTTACAAATTTTATTTTTTATAAATTCTGCCACCTGTAACTAATGCATCTTAGACCACAAGTGTTAAACTCAGGTTGTTAAGTGGACAATGCTTTTCAGATTCCTTTTAAAAGAAAAACACACGCTGCTTCCTTTTCTTAGGAGGTCCTTAGGGAGGTTGAGTCTAATACCCTCTTTTTTTTTTTTTTGAGTTGGAATCTCACTCCATCATCCAGACTGGAGTGCAGTGGCCGCTCCCGGCCACCGCAGCCTCGACCTGCTGGGTTCCGGTGATCCTTCCGCCTCAGCCTTCCAAGTAGCTGGAACTACAGGTGCGCACTACCATGCCCAGCTAATTTTTTTTTTGATTTATTGTAGAGATTAGGTCTCGCCAAGTTGCCCAGGTTGGTCTGAAACCCGCGGGCTCAAGCAATCCACTCACTTCAGCCTCCCAAAGGCGCAGGATTACAGTGGCTCCCACCTGTAATCCGAGCACTTTGGAAGGCTGAGACGAGAGGATTGCCTGAGCCCAGGGGTTCAAGACCAGCCTGGACAACTTGGTGAGGCCTCATCTCTACAATATATCAAAAAATTAGCCTAATGTAGTGGCACGCACCTGTGGTTCCAGCTGCCTGGAAGGCTGAAGCAGAAGGATCGCCTGAGCCCAGCAGGTCAAGGCTGTAGTGGCCGTGAGCGTGCCATTGCATTCCAGCCTGGGCAACAGAGTGAGACTCCAACTCAAGAAAAAAAAGAAGAAGAAAAACTCAGTGTTGTTTAGACAGAGCTTATGGACTCTAGTAGAGTAGAACACAGGAAGAGGAAGACTAGGAGAGGAATTAGAATAGGTGACAAGATAGCCAATCTAAAGCTTTTGCACAGATGCATAAGAAATAGGCCCAGCATGGTGTCTCATGCCTATATTCCCAGCACTTTGGGAAGCAGAGGCAAGAGGATTGCCTGAGTCTAGGTATTCAAGATTAGCCTGGGCAACTTGGCAAGACCTTGTCTCTACAATAAATAAAAAAATTAACCAGGCATGGTGTTGTGCTCCTGTAGTTCCAGCTACTTGGAAGGCCGAGGTGGAAGGATCATCTGAGCCCAGCAAGTTGAGGCTACGGTGGCTGTGAGTGTGCCATCAGACTCCAGCCTGGGTGACAGAGTGAGACTCCCACTCAAAAAAAAAAAAGAGAGAAAGAAAGAAACAAGTTGACTGGGCACAGTAGCTCATGCCTGTAATCCCAGCACTTTGAGAGGCCAAGACGGGAGAATTGCTTGAGGCCAGTTTGAGACCAGCTTGGACATCATAGCAAAACCTTATTTCTTAAAAAAAAAAAAAAAAAAAAAAAAAAGCCAGGCTCGGTGGCTCAGCCTATAATCCTGCGCCTTTGGGATGCTGAGGTGAGTGGATTGCCTGAGCCCGCGGGTTCGAGACCCACTTGGGCAATGAGACCTCATCTCCAATAAATCAGAAAATCAGCTGGGTGTGGTAGCATATGCCTGTAATTCCGGCTACTCAGAAGGCTGAGGTGGAAGGATCGCTGGAGCCCAGCAGGTCGAGGCTGCGGTGACCGGGAGCGGCCACTGCACTCCAGTCTGGGTGACCGAGTGAGACTCTAACTCAAAAAAATAAAAAAATTAGCTGGGTGTGGTGGTATATACCTGTAGTCCCAGCTATTCTGGAAGCTGAGGTGAAAGACTTTCCTGAGCCCAGAAAGTCAAGGCTGCAGTGAGCCGTGATCGTGCCTTTGCACTCTAGCCTGGGCAACAGAGTGAGACCCCGAGTCAAAAAAACAAAAAATACTTGACCTCTGTTTTATTTATAGAATACTGTCTGACCTATTTACTGGTTACCTCTTAGAGTCAGTTTGAGAAAGATGTTTCTTTTTGTTTGTTTCTTTTGTGTGTGTGTTATTTTCCACTGCTATCCTAAATTCAGTAATAAGGACTTCTGAACCTCAGCAAAAGTTGTATATTAAGAGCTATACATAACAAGAGTAACAAAGAGAATGGTTTGTAGTCTTGGGAATGAAAAGGTCCCTGGCAGAAATTTGACCGGAGGGATTACTCACAGGAGCCCCTCAAATACAGATTTCCTTCTGCTTTCTCTCCTCATAAACATATTTATTTAGAGGCTCAAACACTATCAAAAACTCATACTTTTTTGTTTTTTTACATTTTTTAGTTTCTTTTTTGCCTAGCCTTTTTAGTTGTCTTTCATATTATTTTTCAGTTTCTTTATTGATGATATCTCCAATCATTCTATATATTGAGTATTCAGTATGTGTTCCCCTTAATATACTAAAATTGAGATACTAATTCACCATCAGCAAGATACAAATTTCTTTTTCATAGGAGGATTAGCGATTAATATTTATACTATGACTTTCACATGCTTACTAGTCCTACTTGTATCCAGTGACATTTGTTTGCAAGGTGCCTAACCTGTGTTGGCAGTGTGGTCTGAGTTGGTGGACCAAAAACAGACACATCAGCCTGCCTGGAATCTTTTTCTGTGACCTTAATTTTGAGAAAGGAGGAAACGAATTGTCTAACATGAAGCTTGATATTTCCCAACCCCAAGAATGATTCTATTCCTCTTTGTAAGCTCTCCAGGTGGGATTGTGGTAAACTTTCCATTTAGCTCTTGTTCTAGCTTTGAAATCATAACCACCCCAAGAGAATAAACATGCCAATTCTGACATATGTGTACATATTCCCATTGTAGGCTGTCACCTTGAACTGTGCCCACAGTTTCTGCTCCCACTGTATCAATGAATGGATGAAGCGGAAGGTAGAATGCCCCATTTGTCGGAAAGACATCGCATCTAAAACTTACTCCGTTGTTCTGGACAATTGCATTAATAAGATGGTAGATAATCTGAGCTCAGAGGTGAAAGAACAACGAATTATCCTTATTAGGGAACGAAAAGGTAAGTGGGTGTGAGAATCCACCCCCCCCCCCAAGAAGGGACTTATTTACTTCCAAACTTCAGCAAATTTTTTTTTTGATTGGGGAAAAGAGTGACTCAGATAAATAATTCTTGAACTAAGGAAGAGGTGGAAGAAATGGGAAAGAGGAAGGAAGCTAAAGATAATGGATGTGTGAGAGAAAGAATTAAGGTAGAATTAACTTCTGTTGTTTGAACAGCAGAAAATGGGAGGCTTAAGTGTGTGTGCCTTGGTTGTCAGGGGTAAAATAAAGACGTGATTAAAAAGCACACAGTCAGATGTTTTTGCTACACCGTTCACTAGATAGTGCTGTTGCTCAAGACAGTTTAGTTGCTGTCTAGGTGTTGCAAAAACCTTAAATTGGGTATGCAGTGAATTATAAATAGAATGAGTACAGGCCAGAGATTCACAACTTGGAGAATGCCAAGTTTATAAGGCTGGGCATGGTGGCTCATGCCTGTAATTTCAGCACTTTGAAAGGCAGAGGCGAGAGGATTGCCTGAGCCCAGAGGTTCAAGACCAGCCTGGGCAACTTGGTGAGATCTTGTCTCTGCAATAAATAATAAATTAGCCAGAAGTGTTGGCACACACTTGTAGTTCTAACTACTTGGAAGGCTTAGGTGGAAGAATCACCTGCGCCCAGCAGGTTGAGACTGCAGTGGCCATGAGCATGCCACTACACTCCAGCCTGGGTGACAGTGAGACTCTGATTAAAAAAAAAAGAAAACACATTTACAGGTTCTATGAGTCACATCACAACTTAATTATATTCAAACTGGATATAATGTTAAGCCAAAGAGATACAAATATAATTTTGTGTTATCTTTGAGGATCCTAATGTATTTCCTAACAAGTCTCCCAATCAGAGAGAATTTAGATAAAGAGATTGGGGAAGGGATGAGTGAATTTCCCTAATGAACTGTGCTTTCATAGTGAGTACCTGCTCATTTAACCAAGTTTTCTCATCACATTTGGTGCCTTCTGCACTGAGAGCTACAGAGAGCCACTCTACTTGAGATTTAAATGTCTTCAAGACAAAAGAATGTATCCAGGGACAAAGTACAGTAAAGCTAGTGAGTAGAAAGGATTGATTATTGGGCAGGGCTAAGAGTGCATAGAAGCAGAGGGAAGAAGACAGGATTGTCATGTTCAGCCCCATTGATAGTCCAGTAAAGTGCTACCTTCTGGGAAAGCTTCAGAGCCAAGGTGCTATGATGTTAATTGACTGTACATAACAGGCCCAGAGAAGAACCAGAAGCTTACTGTCCTTACAGGTGCTTCCTACCAACTGGCCAATGGAAACCCATGACTTTGATTGTTCCTTTCTTTAAATCCAGAGAAGCTGGAAGGCTTAAAGTCCACACTGCTAAGAAGAGGTTCTTCTAGCCACATCTTTTCCCTAGCGCTTCCACAGATGTCAGCCACTTTGAGTAGGGCCAGGAATCTGCTGCTAACTGTTTTTTAGAGTTAGAGTTAGAGTCTCACTCTGTCACCCAGGCTGGAGTGCAGTTGCACACATGACCACCGCATCCTCGACCTACTGGGCTCAGGCCATCTTTCCATCCCAACCTTCCAAGTAGCTAGTACTACAGATGTGTGCCACCATGCCCAGCTAGTTTTTTAAATTTATTGTAGAGATGAAGTCTAAACAATTTGCCCAGGCTGGTCTTGAACCCCTTGACTCAGGCAATCCTCTTGCCTCTGCCTCCCAAAGGGCTGGGATTACAGGTGTGAACCATCGCACCTGGTCCCTGATGCTAATTTGTAAGCAGCTGTGGTTTGACACTGGCACTCAGTCAACCAGAATGGAGACAGCAAGCTTGTCACAGAGACAGGTAGTACAGGTGTTGATCAGGAAGTGTGCCATAGCCTATTATGCCCAAGGAAGATGTTCTGTGGTCAGCCTTCAGTTGGCTCTTTGGAACTAAAGTATTTTTTCTGCTTTTCTGATACCTGTGTACTGTCGAATTTTGTACCCAATTTTAAGCCCCTACAGATTTTTACCTCTAAGGACCATTTGATTCTGGTAGAATTGCTGTTCCTTTTTACCTCTCATTAGTCCATAAGCATTTATAAGAATAATACACTAGGAATCAGGATAAAAAGATGGATAAGGCTGGGCACAGTGGCTCTCTCCCTTTTCTCCTCCTTGTTTTCCCTTCACCACTTTGTCTATTGCTTTTCCTTTCCTTGTCATCAAGATGGAGTTTTTTCTTTGCTTTATTCTTTCCCCCATCACCTTTATTAGCATCTCAGAATACCCACTTTGAAATGAGGCATTGTAGACTGTTTGCCTAGTATTCACCTAGAGAGAAAGGGGACTGTAAGTTTTAAAGAGGTCAGTTATGGGATTAATTGGATTATATGGAGTACCAGCCCAGGAAGTCCTAGAACTCACATTTCTTGTTGTCTCTGTAGTCCTTATAATTTCAGACCAGTCCTTCTATCTGGAAGTTAGAAGGTTCTCTGACTTTAGTGCTCTGTGGTGGGATGCTTTCCCCTGTGAGGGGTCATTTAACCAAAATTTACCATTTCACTGTAAGCACTTGGAAAAACTTTCACATCTTAGGAGGGTGGGCTTCCTAGATACTATTAATCATCTTAGCCGGGATATAGCTCACACCTATAATCTCAGCACTTTGGAAGGCGAGAGGATTGCCTAAGCCCAGGGGTTCAAGACCAGCATGGGCAAGTTGGCAAGACCTCATCTCTACAGTAAATAAAAAAGTTGGCTGGTGTGGTGGGACACGCATTTGTGGTTCCAGCTACTTGGAAGGCTAAGGCAGAAAGATTGCCTGAGCCCAACAGGTCTAGGCTGTGGTGGCTGTGAGCATGCTACTGCACTCCTGCTTGGGTGACAGAGTGAGACTCTGACTCAAAAACAAAACAAAAACCATTCTTCAGTGCACCCAAATGCATAGAAAGTTGAGTTTGAGGGAACTGTGCGTACCCAAGTAGAGAGACCCAGGGCTGACCTTGACTACCTGCATATTTTATGAAGAATTCAGTGCAAGAAACTTAGTGACTCTGGTGTGCCCCACCATGTTGTACTGATGGTGAAGACAGCACTTGCTGGCCAACATGAGATCTCATTGCTGCTGGAGGCTGCCAGGATAGTGCTGTCAGCCCACCAGCCCAGGTCACAGCTGGGAAGAAGGTCCTGAAGGTGGCCTGGAGCGTGTGGTTAGAGCCTCAAGAGAAGCCAATCTGAGCAACTCTGCCTGTCTCTGGGGTCCAACAGGATGTACTTCAGATGATTCATTGCTGTTTTCCACAGAAGTTTCTTTTGATCTTTTTGAGTTTTTAATTATAACAATTATTTTGACATTCTAAAAAGTGGATCCTCCTCCCCCCCCAACATGTTATTTTGTTTGTTTTTGAGTCAGAATCTCACTCTGTTGCCCAGGCTGGAGTGCAGTGGCATACTCACGGCCACCGCAGCCTCGACCTGCTGGGCTCAGGTGATCTTTCCTCCTCAACCTTCCAGGTAGCCGAAACTACAAGTGTGCACTACTACACCTGGCTAATTTTTTAATTGATTGTAGAGATGAGGTCTCACCAAGTTGCCCAGGCTGGTCTCCAACCCCTAAGCTTAGGCAATCCTCTTGCTTCCGCCTCCCAAAGTGCTGGGATTACAGGCGTGAGCCACTGCACCCAGCCAGCTTTATGATTTTTCACTCATACTTCTAGAAACATCCACTGTAGGAGATACCTGTGAAAATATAATGTCCTTAATCAAAGCAACTTTTCCCTTGAATATTTTTTGCATCTTGAAGTTATCCCTAGATGAACACTGGGTGGTTTTTGTTTGTTTGTTGGTTGGTTGGTTTGTTTTTTTTTTTTAATTGGAGTCTCACTTGTCACCCAGGCTGGAGTGCAGTGGCACACTCATGGCCACCCCAGCGTCAACCTACTGGACTCTGGCGATCCTTCTGCCTCAGCCTTCCAAGTAGCCAGAACTACAGGTGCACACTATCATGCTCGGCTAATTTTTTGATTTATTGTAGAGACTAAGTTGCCCAGGCTGGTCTCCAACCTCTGAGCTTAGGCAGTCCCCAGCCTCGGCCTCCCAAAGTGCTGGGATTACAGGGATGAGTCACCATACCCAGCCAACACTGGGTATTTTTAGAGCAAGCTCACATAAGTTGTAGTCTAGGTTTCTGTGAACTTATCATACACAGAATGACTGGAGTCAACTGTTTATACTTCTTCCACCCTCCCCGCCATCAAACTATAGAATGTGGTACATTACCATTGAGGCGTTTTGCATCAGCTGGATATATCTAACTGCCTGCTGGTTTGGTTCTTAAGAAATCTGAGGCTGGGCACAGTAATCCAAGCACTTAGGGAGGCCAAGGTGAGAGGATTGCCTGAGCCTAGCAGTTCGAGACCAGCCTGGGCAACTTGGTGAGACCTCGTCTGTACAATATATCAAAAAATTAACCAAGCGTGGTAGCACTCACCTGTAGTTCCGGCTATTTTGGAAGGCTGAGGCGAAGGATCACCTGAGCCCAGCAGGTCGAGAGTGCAGTGTCTATAAGCGTGCCACTGCACCCCAGCCTGGACGACAGAGTGAGACTCTGACTCAAAAAAAAAAAAAAAAGAAATCTGATATAATCAGGGGTGCATCTCTTCCTGGCTAGGGCTTCTGATTTGCCTTCTGCTTTTGTCCTATTAAACCTAAACCAGAGCCAACCCCAGAGAAATATCCCTTTTTTTCTTCTAGGTCTTTCCTTCTTCTCAGCACCTACTAAATGCTAGGTACTTGGGGATGAAAGCAGGCAAGGCATATGCAGCCCCTCCTCTCATGGCACTTTCACTCTTGGTGCAGGGCCTAGGCTGCTTATAGAAAAGTGCTTCAACAAGAGAAATAAAAGGTGTTAGGTCAAAGGAAGGCTTCCTTGAGGGAGTGATGGGGATGAGATATATATTATGGATCGAAGCCAGAAGCAAAAGCAAGGGATTTTGGGGGCTACGAGTTGTTATTGTAGTGCTAGAGAAAGAGTTGAGCAGTGAGGCTGGAAAAGTAGGCAGGACTACGGCACAAAGGGTGTTACGGAGTTAGTCTAGGGATGGAAGGAAACTATCAGAAGATTTTTAGGTGGAGATCTGACCGTTCATACTTTATTTTTCCTGGTATGTTAGTCTGACTGCAGTGGAGAGACTACACGGTGTTGGTACAAAAATAGAGGCAGTAATTCCAGTCAAGGATTACAGTGGCTGGCCTAGAAAAGTAGCAGCAGGGATGGCCCAAGTGGACTGATTTAAGAGGTAGTTAAGGGGGTAGGATCTACAAGTTTGTGAGACTGGTGTTGTGGGAGGTGCAAGGGAGCTCAGACTCAAGGGTCACTCCCAGCTTTCTGTTAGGGGCAACTGGGTGAATGATGGTGCATTTACAAAAATAAGAGCAGTTTGAGGGGGGAAGATAAGTGTAGTTTTCAACTGAAAAGTAAGTTTAAGGCACCTGAAGATGTCAGCGGACCTGTTCACTGGGCATTCGGATATGTGGATCTGGAGCGTGAGCCATGGAGCTGGATGAGCAAGCCACTTTGGTCCTGTCTGTGGGTAGTAAGACCCAAAGATCAAGTCATGAGCCATGAGAAACACCAACATTTAAGGGATGGATACTGGAAGAGGAGTGTGCAGGGCAGACTGATGACGAGTCGCCAAGAGAGATGGAAAAAGGGGAAATGAGGGTCAGGTAACAAAAGATATTAGAGCCAGGCGTGGTGGCTTGCACCTGTAATCTCAGCTATTAAGAGGCTGAGGTGGCAGGATTGCCTGAGGCTGAACATTTGAGACCAGCCTGGACAACATAATGAGACCACATCTTAAAAAAAAATTTTTTTAAAGACCACTAGAATGGTGTGCTTTGAGCTTTCCTGACCATAACTTTGTCTTTGGTAGACATCTTCTCATTGCATTGTAGACATTGCCCTGTTATTTCTTCGAAAGCATTTACCAAATTGAAATATTAGTGTTAGTGTACTCTCTCCTCCAGACTTCTAAACTCCTTGAGGGCAGAGATTTAGTTTTATTCCTTGTAGTATTCACAAATTACTAGTCGAGAATGTAGTAGGTCTTCAGTAAATTAATGTTTATGAATGCTTATGAAGTGAGAAGTTAGCAGTTAAGATGCTGCTGATACGTTAAGCAAGATAAGGATGAAAAATTGCCCATTGATTATAGTAGGTGTTTGAGACATTGACAACTTTGTCTAGGACAATTAGAAGTCAGTTTGCCATGACTGGGGAATGAGTATGAGGTGAGAGAGTAGAGAAGGAATAGACAACTTCTCCACAAAATTTGACTATGGCAAAGATGGTAGGGACCAGCACCAAAAGCAAATTGTATTGGAGGACAGGCACGGTGGGCTCAGCCTGTAATCCCAGCACTTTGGAAGGCCGAGGCTAGAGGATTGCCTGAGTCCGAGGGTTTTGAGACCAGTCTGGACAACTTGGTGAGACCTCATCTCTATAATAAATCACAAAAACTAGCTGGGCGTGGTGGCATGCATCTGTAGTTCTAACTACTTGGAAGACTGAGGCGGAAGGATCGCCTGAGCCCAGCAGGTCAAGGCTGCAGTGGCCGTGAGCATGCCACTGTACTCCAACCTGGGCAACAAAAGTGAGACTTCAACTCAAAAGAAAGAAAGAAACAGGATTGGAAGAGGGTGTGGTGGTAAAACTAAGGGTTTTTTTGGTTTTGTTTTTTAAAGACAGAGATTTAAGCATGTTCAGTTGCTTATTGGAAGGAGCCTGTTGGGAAGGAGATGCTAGAAAGTCAAGATAGTGGATAGGGTGTGATTCTTGGGCTGGCAGGGGAAGACAGGGAGCACAGAGCTCAGACAGAGGAATTTGTCTTTCAAAGTAGGAGGATATATGCTCTGTTTTATAGAGACAAAAGTGTCATGGTGGAGGGGTCAAGGAAGCGTGCTTGAAGGGAGTCAAGAGAATTTCTTTCTTGTAGCTTCTGTATTTTTTGTGAGCTATAAACGAGGCCATTAGCTAAAAGGAAGGAAACCCTTCTTGGGTCTCTCTCTCTGAGGCTGAAGGCATGCCCAGCCCCAAGGCCCATCACCTCAAAGGCTGTCCAGAAGTGGAAGACAAATCACTTTTATAATCCTTTTCATCCTCCTTCCACCGCATTCCAGACCTCAGTCTCAGGAAGAGAGACAATCTGCTTGGTGGCTTTGTTATGCTTTTGGAATAGGTTAGGATTCCTACTTTCCGGAATCAGGGAAGCAGAAACTATCAGAAAACCCTAGAGGCCAGTAAATGGCCCTTTTTATCCTCTCCCTCTTCAGACAGAGGAAAAAATCCCACCTCTTCCTGCCTGTTCCTGAGTATGGTATTCATTCTGTCCTTTAACATATTTGTTAAGGGTCAGATTTTTGCCAGGTATTGTTCTAGATGCTGGAAATATAAACAAAAGTGAAAATATAGTAAGTTAGATGTGATTAGTGCTGTGGAGAAAGATAAAGCAAGAAAGGAGAGAGGTGATGGGGACAGGCTTAGTAGTTTTTTTTTTTTTTGAGTTGGAGGCTGGAGTGCAATAGCACACTCATGGCCACCGCAGCCTCAGCTTGCTGGGCTCAGGTGATCCTTCCACCTCAGCCTTCCAGTCAGCCGGAACCACAGGCATACATTATCATGCCTGGCCAATTTTTGATCCATCGTAGAGATGAGGTCTTGCCAAGTTGCTCAGGCTGTTCTCAAACCCGTGGGCTCAGGGACTCTCACCTTGGCCTCCCAAAGTGCTGGGATTACATGCTTGAGCCCCCATGCCCGGTAGCAATTCTTGATAGGTTAGTCAAGGAAGGTGCCTCTGAGAAGGTACTATTTGAGGAAAGTTCTGAAGGAGGCGGCTGTGCTGCCATGTGGGGAAAGAGGAAATAATAAGGGGGAGTATGTTGGTGTGTGGAAGGAATAGCAAGGCCAGTTTGATGGCTGGAATGGAGTGAGTGATGAAGGAGGGGTAGGAGATGAGGGGAGGAAACTTGGCAGAGGGCAGAGTGTGTGGGCCTTTTAAAGGACTCTCACTCTGAGGAGTGGGGATGGACTTTGAGCAGAGAAACTTACATTTTCTCCAATCACTCTGGCTGCTGTGTGGGGAAGAGACCGAAGGTGGCAAGGATGGAAGCAGGGAGGCCAGAGAATGGGAATACAGCTCCTTTGTTTATTTCTCTTTTATTTTCTCTCCAAAGCAAAGAGACTGTCCTGAAGGCCATACTCTAAGGGCATTTGAAAGATTGCCAGAGATTGGGAGCTTGGGATGGTCTGGAGGATTCTCTCTGGACGTGACTCAGCCACTTTGGAAGTCATCTTAGAAGTCCTGTGGGGCAGAGACTGAGTTGGAAAGTCCTCCATCAATCGCCTTCCATGTTGACCAGCCCTGCTGTCGTCATTGTCTGAAGCACCAACTGCTTCAGATTACTTCACAGACTCTGCTTCACTACATGTTGAATGGGTTATTTGTAGACGTTGTTGTTTTGGTGTTGTTTGATACCTCAGAAGCACCTCTGCTGACATTTGTTTTGGACAGGTTGGGTGCATCCCATGGCCGCCTCTGATGGCATCCTCTATTTTGAGAGATTGACTTACCTATTCTTTGTGAAAACAGTGTGTCATTTTCTAGAAATAAAATGTAAAATCTGTCAGTTGCTCCACTGGGCTTTCGTGTATTTACCTTCCTTCCCTTCCAGCTCCCATCCAATCTCACAAGTAAACACTGGCAGCTCATGGATTACAACCAAGAAAGTGACTGTATCAGATGATAGACTTCAAGTGAATGTCAGCCTAAGAAGCCAAGCACAAGATCCTGGCCACAGCAGATGGGCTCTGACAACCCCTGACTGTCATGTTTTCTTTTTGCTGCAGAGGTGGGTCACTGCTTACCTCTTATTTCAGGATGGAGGGAATTCTTTTCCTTCAGCTAGCATTCTGAATGTTTCCAGTGATTTTGAGAATGCAGTGTGCTTTTCTCTTTTCTTTTTTTGGTTAAAAGTTGTCTTTCTTTTGCTCATCTCCACTTTTTAAACCAAAAGAAAACCAGTTTTGATGTTTGGGAGATACGCACTTAAAACAACTTGTGATATCCTTGGTTAACTGTGTTGAGAATGAGGGAAAATACAGGAAGTTGAAGAATGGTCACTTGAAACTAGGAGCCCTCTAGTAGGATTGTGAAACTGTGCATTATATCATTTAATGATTTGCTTCCCTCTCCCTTTTTTCTGCCTACTTAGAGAGTCATTCTTTTGTAGTTCTTTAGACCCCATGTATTTTCATAAAGGGCCGGAAACTATTGACTTTTTAGGGATGGTAGGAGGTTTTATTCTTTGTTGAATATACTGTGAATATTGGGATTCTGGAGTCCCTAGTCTTCATTTCCTATGGTTGTTGATTAAAATACTGGTGAAGTAAAGAAGGAAGTAAGTTAAATAAGGCATCTTTTGCCTTAGCTGAGCGTGGTGGCTCATGCCTATAATGCCAGCACTTTGGGAGGCTGAGGTGAGAGGATTGCCTGAGCCCATGGGTTGGAGACCAGCCTGGGCAACTTGG